ATGGGTGTAACAAATGCAACAGGAAGTATAGTTATAAATGAACAAAATACAGTGAAAATAGCATGTTTTGACTCTTATTATTAACATTTACAGCAAGTCTGCAACAGGAAGTGCTTCTTATCGCATGCATTATGGGTATAACAAATGCAACAGGAAGTATACTTATCACATGACCCTGATGCATTGTGGACACATTGGTTATACACACCCCTTAAGTGCCAAGAACAGATAGAGAATTCTCGGCATATATAACATAGCCTGCTTGGTTTGCACAGCGTCTACAATCTTATTGGCGGCGTACTCTGCTTCCATGATGGGAAGGAGCAGTGGAAATCTGCAGAAATGAAGGAGAAAATATCAACATATGTGAATAATTGGAAGATGTTGTATTTATTGGGTATATTTTTTTACCACAGGTAGACACTAGATTGATCATTCTCTAGAACACTGTCAATCACATCGGTTTACTTGTTTAACTGGCTAATTTCAATAAAAATAATATGTTTTCATATTGATTCAGCAACACCTTGGAATTTGAGATCCTCTTGAAAAATCCCTTATCATTGTCTTGTATTTCATTTTCGGGGCTTGAAATATATTTAATAGGCCACTATATTTCTTTTAATATTATTACATTATTTTTGTCAGTAGATATGATTGCCCATTATAATTGTATTTTAGACATTGTTATTGGTTATCTTTGCCATATAAGGTTAATTTAGTCAGTTTTGATTAGTGTCTTTTTTATGTGGTTTGTTTTGTACTAGTTTTTCTTGTCCTGGATTTTCATTGTCCTTGTTATGTATAACCAATTTATTTTGTTTTTCAACTACTTAGTAAATTTTTAAATGTTATCGGTAGCAAGATACCCTATAGTTTCATTTCATGTGCAATATTTGTTGCAGTAAAATGTTTAAAAAAACAAAATATTTCTCCCAGGCAGGTTGTGATAGATCTACAAGGACTACTTACTTTGTTTTAACCCCATCAAACATTCCTGTGTTTATGAAGAATGGACATACCACGGTTGTAATTACACCATCCTTCCCCATTGCAGACAACTCGTATCGTAAAGATTCATCAAATCCGACAGCACCAAACTTACTAGCACAATAATCAGCCAGCCCAGAGACACCAATAAGACCTGCAGAACTTGCGATATTGACAATGTGGCCATAGTTGCGTTTCATCATCATCGGAAGAAACGACTTGACTGTCTGTAAAATAAAGTTAATGATAGTAAAAATAAGACTTGTATCATCAGGCCTTATCTTCTTTATAGTGAAACGCATCACATATGGTAGAATGGTTGAAATTTTAGTTTATGTCGAATCTGAAATTTACAAAGTTCACAAGTTATACTGATTGAAAGCTGGCATAGGAAGTTATTATTTAGTGCCTACAATAAATGTTGCATTGCTGTTTGAATCCTACTTTGGGTGTGCACTAAGCATGACTAACCTGGAAAGTATGTAATCTGAGGTTATAAATGGAAAGCAAGGGTATTTGGTAGTAGATATAAGACGTCTCTGGGTAAAATTATTATATTTGGCGGGAAATAATAACCGAGCATATGCGATATAAGCAAAGCTATATTCGGTAGCAGATATAAGACCTCTCTCGGCAAAATTATGCTCGGTTATTATCTGCCCCAAATATGCTAATTTTACCCAGAGAGGTCTTATATATCCGCTATCAAGAGCTTACCATTTATAATTTCATTATAACATGCTTGCACAAGAAATACACTACAAAAAAGCTGTTTATATCAAGCTGCTATGTGT